GAATTGTAAAGTGACCTGAGATGATATGATGTGAATTGGAGCTATAGAAATAAACTGAATTAATTTGAAAAGTGGGAGGAGCTACTCTTCCTGGGGTCAACAAGACAAAACTTAAATCACCTAACATTATAGACATTGTTGTAGATGTCGTCAGAAATCATTCCAATAGTATTTCAATTCTATTCAGTTTATCTCTATAGCACCAATTCACATCATGTCTTCTAAAGGCATATAAATCAAGCCAATTCCATCTGGCGGAAAATCACGCAGCTTTTTCTAATCACACGAGAATGTGTACAAAACAAGAAAAATGGCGCCGGCAATGCATCTGGGTCGTTTTCATCAAATGTCGGTGATTTTAAAGTAATTTTGAGTGATGAATATTTTTTTTGCAATCATTGCATTTGCCCGCCGGGTACTCTCCCAACAATAAAAACGACTTAAGTTAAGGAGATTGGACTGCTGTATTCTAGGTTTGGTTTTTATGCTATATGCAAAGTAATAAACTGCATTTTACTAGATAATAACACATTAATTTATTGCTGTCTGCGAAATGACTGAGTTACCTCCTAATAACTGTTTGAAATCTAAGAAGTCTGTATTTATTTAATATTTGTCTGCCTGAAATTTAAAGCACAGCACTTAACAAAGTCGTCTAAAGTTTTTCTTCTTACCAAGTAATATAGTGTAACTTGCTTTCTTATTATCATGTTATTACATAGTTATTGATGTACTGTAAAAAAAAAGCCTTAACTTGAGCATAATTATTTATTACTGTTAAATGTCAACAATTTGATAACAATCCTATGTCAAGAAAATTGATTAATTCCTCTTAAGACATGTAGTGATTACATTGAACAAAATGACAGAGTCATGCTGAGGGTTTGACACATTAGAAATCAATATTTCATTTTAAAATCCTGATAATAACTTCTTATCTATTACTTTGATTTACCTAAAATGGTCCAATTTAAAAAGAAGTATAGAAAACTAGTCCTTAAAGATAAAATTCAAATATGAGGTGTTCATGCACAATAAAGTGACAATATAATCGCAGTGTTTATGCTAAGCTACGGCGAATGTTTTACTCCAAATCTCAACAAAGTCATAATTAAACGGTGTCGTAACCTCCC